TAAATACAGCTACTTTCTCTTATTTCAATGAATAGAAACATTTGTACTACTAGTGTTTGGACAGGATATCATGTCTGCATCTTGTACTATGAATAACCACTATGAAGACAACAATATGCAACGTATTAATTATTGAAGCTGTCCTACTAACCGGTTTTGAAACTGTCTCATTGCTATTTCTTTCTCAATAAAATTAATTTTAAAAAATGAGTGGAAGATCTACTCAATGTGCAACATGCAGCGTCATATTTTAACACAGTCACTGTGAAAAAATCCATTGATCTCATGAGAGCCATCACAACTAAATTTGAACCAACTTCTTCTTATCGAATTTTGCTGTAAATGTGTCTGAAAAGGCCATTTTCTCCTTCTTGCATTAATAGATGTTTGTGATACATGCTAAATATATCCTTCACCACAGAGCTGGTACATATACATATTTCATCCCGGTCCTCTTACTTCCGTTTCCCTTCCCCTCCCTCTTATTTCCTCCATTCCTACATCCCCTTTCCATTCTTCCAAATAACTACCCTGCTGATCATTGATATTTTATATCACTTTTTTAGTCTCAGCCTCAAGAATTTCCACTCTGAGCTTTATGTATTTTCTCCTGTTCATTTAAGACCTGCATTGCTTTTGTTTTTCTAGGACTTTGAAGATGCATCAGTAGTTATTTATTTTGGCATCATGCTATACCTTTTACGTGTGCATTTCCAGTTATAAACTTCCTTCTTAGAACTGCTTTCATTGAGTGCCATGGGTTTCGGTATATTGTGCTTTCATAATCATTTGGGCCCATGAACTTTTTTATTTCTATCCTGATTTCTTCTGTGATCCATTAATTATTCAATGATGTATCATTAAATCTTCATATAGTTGCATTTTATTGGCTTTCTTGGCTATTGATTTCTAGCTTAATTCCTCTATTGTCTGATAGTGAATTATTTCAATTCTTTTGTATTTATTTAAGCATCCTTTATGGCCTAAGACATGATTTATCCTGGGAAATGTTTAATCTGCTTCTGAGAAAAATTGATATTCTGCTGTCATAGACATCCATTAAGTTTATTTGTTTAGTGATATGGTTTAGCTTTAATATTTCTTTATTGATTTTTTTTTTTTTTGGTCTGGTTGACAGGTCTAGTTGTGGGAGTAAGACACGGAAATTGCCCACTATGATTGTACTGATGTTTATCTGTCCTTTTAAGTCCAGTAGTTTTTTTTTGTTTTTGTTTTTGTTTTTCTTACAAGGTTGGGTATTCTGACATCCATTGCATAGCTACTGACAATTGTCTCTTCCAGCTTAATAGTTCCCTTTACCCATTCCCCTCACCCATCTTTGTCTCTTGATCACCTTGGGCTTGGAGTCTGCTAGCTCTGAAAATAAGATAGCTACTCCTGCATTTGGGGGCTTTAGTTAGAGTATCATTTTCTATACTTTGACTCAGTGTATATACTTCCCTTTGGTTTAGGTGAGTCTCCAGTAGACAATGTGAGGTTGCATTTTGTCTTTTGATACAATCTGCCAGGCTGAGTCTTTTGAATGGGAAGTTGACACCACTGACCTTGAGAGTTATTATTCTGAGATATTATTAACTCTTGCCATGGCCCTATTTTCCTAGTGCTGTTTCCTTTATTTTTATTTTCTTTTGTTCAGGTACTGTTCTGGGAAGATGTATACTTCCCTTTGGACTCATTGCTGCTGGTAGACGCCCTGTCTCTGTCTAGGATGTCCTGCAAATTTTTCTGCAATATTGACTTAGTGGTGATGTGCTTCTTTAGGATTTCTTTGTTGTGCATAGTTTGCATCACCACCAATTTTGAAGGCTTACTTTGCAGGATATAAAAGTCTGGGTTGACATTTATTTTATTATTTTATTTTATTTTATTTTATTTTATTTTTAGCACTTGAAAAACTTCACTTCAGGGTTGGGGAGATAGCTTAGCAGCTTAGGTGCCTGCCTGGTAAGCACAAGGACCCAGGTTCCTTCCCTGGTGACACACGCCGTGCAGGCCCCAGAACTCCAGGTGTGCTGTGCCCGTCACTGACATGGTAGCACATTCTTGTAATCCCAGCTCTGGGGAGGCTGAGACAGAAGGATCACTACAAGTCCGAACTGGGTAATGAGACCCTGTATGAAAGAAAGAAAGAAAGAAAGAAAGAAAGAAAGAAAGAAAGAAAGAAAGAAGGAAGGAAGGAAGGAAGGAAGGAAGGAAGGAAGGAAGGAAGGAAGGAAGGAGAAGGGAAGGGAAGGGAAGGGAAGAGAATTTAGAAAAACTTCACTTCAACCTCTCCTAGCTTTTAAGGTTTGTGTTGAGAAATGCACAGTTATTCTGATACATTTACTTGCTGTTTTTCTCTAAGAGTTTTTAGTATTTTTCACCTTGTTGAATTTCTGGAACTTGTATTATGGCATAGTGGAGAGGTTGGGGATTTTGTAGCTATTTGGGGTTCTACATGCATCTCATACTTGAATATTGAATTCTTTCCTTGGATTTGAAAGTTTTTCTGCTATGAGTTCAGTGAATAAAATTTTTATGCCTTTTGAGTCACCTAATTTTTCCTTTATCCCTATAATTCTCAGGGACTTTTTAGTCATGCAGCAGCTATTAGATCCAGCTAGCCTGGTGTCTTGTCATTTTTAGCCCATCATTGAGTTTGTGACCTACTGCATCTACCTTGTCTTTGACACTCTTTCCTCACACAGATCCAGTCTACTACCCTTGCTTTCAATGGAATTTTTCATCGCATGAGTTTCTGCTGATTTTCTTTTCATATCTTCTAATTCTTTACCAAAGTGGTGGGGGCCTGGCCCTAGCTCAGTCCTTTAAGTGGCTGCTTCCACAAAGCTGTCAGCCTCAGGTTCCTGGAGTTCGAACCTCACAACTCTCCCGC